AAATGTCTTTGTTCAGATGAGTTTCTTATCACACTCTTATTGGATCTTATTGAAACTCTCAGCAGGTCATCACCGGAACTGACTAACTACTGGCGCCAACCTTGTTCAAGATGGCCGCCACCGCCAAGCAACTTCATCAACCATGAAAATGGTCATAACTCAATCAGTTGTACAGCTACTCATTCCCAACACACCCCAGGCACCAAGTGATCATTTCAAATCCATGTTTAAAACTTTTCCATAAGCTACTGAAGTCAATGTTGTCCGTCTGTTAGCAAAATATTTCATAAACTAATGGACACATTTTGTGAAACTCTCAAAGTCAAACTCAAATTCTTAAAACTGGCCAAGTAAACACACAAAAAAAGACATCAAATCAGTCAATTTAGCAGAGATTAAGTGAAAATGTAGATTAATTTCCGACACTCTGAGCTCTAACAAATTTAGGCATAAAATGATTTATAAGGTTTAACTAAAACGGCAACAAGTCATCAAAACTGTGGCACAAAAGGCCGTCGGCGACGTTACTCTTTCAAGGAATGTTAGGCCACCTATGAATATTTAAACTCAAGCTTGGCACTTGTTTGTTTACGTGTATGTTTACATGCTTGTTGACACTAATTAACCCACTGGAACAGGAACGCACGTCGCAGAAATCTTTGCAAATTATTCAGTCAAAGCGTAATTATTAAATAATATCCGTCAGCGCACTGCTTCTTGAATGCACAGAGTTTGTTTGGTTTAATGGGATATTTGCTGGTCTCTGTTCACATCACACACTGATCGGGACCTCCACTTAATTACAAGCAAACTGGTGAAGCTGATTAGATTACCTGATTAGATTACCTGCTGAATTAGTCGTTTGTGCAGGATCATCGCGGCACGGGGTCGTTCGCATCAGCTGCCCCTTTATTAAAACTTGATTACAGCTTCAGAAAAATCTGCATCCTGCCTCCAGCTGATTATCTCTTTGTTGATTTTTATTTATTTATTTATTTTTGCTCTATTCGCGGCTGCAGACGAAACCAGGTTTTTTTCTTCTTCTTGTTTTTAATCACTCAGGTGAAATTTAATTCAGTGGCTGCAGCTTTGCAGACAGCAGTTTGGCCTCTTTTTGCTCAATTTCAGCATTTTATATATATATATATATATATATATATATATATATATATATATATATGTCTCGTTAGCCCCTGATGCACAGTCCATCACGGCTGTTAAAAGGTTATTTCCATTCTGCGTGTGTGGGAGAGAAGCTGTGGGCAATACCAGCGTTGTTGCTTCTGGTTTATGCGTGTGCAAATTAAGGATATTTTATTCCATTTGTGCTGGAGCGAAAGTGTCTGAGTGGGATATCACTTAAAACAAATGGGTCCCAGAGGAGAAGTGAAGCAGCAGCAGAGGAGGATTTTCTTTGCTCGATTGTTTGTGCACAAGACTGTCTGACAGAAGACAACACAGCCGTAGAAAACAAATCGTTATTGTGTCGAAGCCACAATCAGCTCCGTGTCACAACAGCAGCATCAGTGTTTCCATTTTTGTAACGTTCCGTTTGAAAAAGGTCTCTAAAAGCTGCTGTGGTGCTATCAGGCGCATGTTGCAGCCACAAGTGCTGAGCAGTGGCCTTAGGAAACGGTTTTTCATTCAATTAGATAAGCTGGCATCACATTCAGCACACGCCTGCTTAATATTACATTCAACGAGTTTCTCGGGGACTTTTCAGGAGACGTTCCAAAACACACCCAGCAGCGACTCTTCTGAACAAACAACACGTGTCCAAAATGTCAAGTTTTTATGAGCTGCAAATAATTACTTCGAAAAAACACGTAGCTCTAAACCAGCGTGTCTGTTCCCACAAGTTATAAACGAGAAACAAATGATCTTAAACTATGTGGAAGATTAGTGGCATTTTCTTTTTGATTGTTTTCTCCAACTGAGCGTCCCAGAGGATAAGAAAATTCACCGATCTGCACCAGGTGAAATATTTAGAAAGTGTCATTGCAAGGAAATGGAAAAAGGGTGGATTGCTCTCTTTGGGTCCAGGGTGAGGTTCTGCCTCAAGTGGAGGAGTTCAAGTATCTCTGGGTTTGGTTCACGAGTGAGGGAAGAATGGAGCGTGAGACTGACAGACTGATTTATGCTGCATTTGCAGTATTGTGGACTCTGTACCGGTCCGTTGTGGTGAAGAGGGAGGTGAGCTGTAAGACAAAGCTCTCTGTTTACTGGTCAGTCTACGTTCCTCCCCTCACCCCTGGTCATGAACTCTGGTAGTGACTGAAAGAATGAGATCGTGGATCCAGGAGGTTGAAATGAGTTTCCTCTGCAGAGCTGGACTCTCCCTTAGAGACAGGGTGAGAAGTTCAGTTATCAGGAGAGACTCAGAGTAGAACCACTGCTCCTCCACATCAAAAGGAGCCAGGTGAGGTGGTTCGGGCATATGGTAAGGATGCTTGACGGTGCTGTGCTTCGGTCATGTCCAACTGGGGACCCTGTGGAAGACCCAGGACACTGTGGACAGACTAAGTCTCCCAGTTGGGCTGGGAACACTATGGAGTCCTCCAAAAAGAAGAGCTGGAAGTGGTGGCTGTGGAGAGAGATGTCTGGACCTCCCTGCTAAAGATGCTGCTTCTGAGACCTGAGTCCAAAACAAGCAGAAGATAATGGATGGATGGATGGATGGATGGATGGATGGATGGATGGATGGTGTCACTGTAAAAATATGGAAGCAACCTTATCAGTATTCACTTGTTATTCTTCCTTCACAGGTTTCAGTTGACTTTGTCTCTTGCAAAGACTCCAGATTGTCCCAAGATGAGAGAGTTGTCTCGTTTGTCTCTATCGTCCCTGTGATGGACTGGAGACCTGTCCAGAGTGTCCCTGCCTCTCACACAATGATAGCTGGAGAAAGACACTAGCTCCTTGTGGCCCAGAAAGGGAAAGAACAAAACAGGTAAAGTAAAAGTATGGATGGAGCTTCAGAAAATAGAAAAGGAGTCACAACTTGAGACTCCGTCAGGAATAGTGCGTTAAACTTAGAAACTACAAAAAAAAAAAAGATTTTTGTGAAATCTGTGAAAGCCAACCATTCTTTGGAGCTCTATAACTCATTCTGCCGTGATTCAAACATGATTCAAAGTTAAAGCGTGTCGAGAGTTCAATCTTACGAGCCTGAACTGATGTTTTCATGTTAGTTACAGTTTTGGTCGAAGGGTTTTTAGTGATTTTTACCACACATTGTTCAATATTTGAGCTAAACTTTCCTAAATCTATACAAACTCTTTTTATGCCAACAAACTTTACAGATCATATACAATTATTTGTTTATTCATCCAAACTATGGCATTTTTGTCTTCTTTCACCAAGTGTCTCTCAATGCTTTAGGAATTTTGGTTTTCTCACAAATCCCCAAGTTCCATGTTTCATCTATGGGTTCACTTTTATCAATAGTTGGTGTTTTACCAATTTATTCCACCATAGCAGCCAGTTATGAATTATTTGGGCACGTGTTGCCTGACTTTACACATGCACATTGGCATCCATAAAAAAAGCCATGAATATCTGATCTCTGCTTCATTGTAGCTGAGGATAAATTAGAGCCATTAAAATAACAATTATTTGTAACTCGAGTTAAATCCATAAAGAAACACTATTTCTCTGTACAGAGCTGCTCATCTTGGATACAGAGAATTAAACCATCCAATCTTTGAAGTGTTTGTCATCTCACATTATTTAAGGGGGCAGAGTTAACTAAAAGCACCTCTTAGACGTCCGCTTTAAGTGTTTTCGCACTGGAAGAAACTTGATGACGGCCTCGTTCAGTGGAGAGCCCGTCTACGTATCTGCTGGAGTCAGAATGAGTGTGCGGGACTTTCTGCTGCACTGTGTTCACAGAAAAAGGCGACGTGTCAGCAGCAGGGAGATTATCAACACTCACTCCAGCAGGATAGACAGAACGCCACGTTTTCCACACGTCACAAACCCCTCTGAATCCTCGGCCCGACTGTGTGTCTAGGCACAGCTTGAAACCGAACCAGACTCTGTAATCCTCGTGAATAAACAAGTCCGCAGCGACTAAAACAAGACACAGTTGTGTTGGAGGTAAAAAGGTGCAGACTTGAACCATCTGCTGCTCTGAAAGCACAAGTGAGACTGTGTAAAGGAGCAGCAGGAAATTTCAAAGACTGTTCGAAACGACTCTTGTGGATGATTTGAAAATCCAGCGAGGCTTTAGAGCTGATCAGACGACATGTCCGGTGAGATTTATAATCTCCCCCGGGGACAGAAAACAAAAAGAAAACACGGACTCAGTAAAGAGCTGAAGCAGCTCGACTCATTCAGGGATTTATTTTATACTCTTCAATTTTTTTCTGTATTAGATTGAACAAATTAGATATCGTGACCTCAATTTTAGAAACCTTTTGGTGATTTTTATTAATGTTATATTAATATTATTATTAATAATACAATAATAATAATAATAATCCATCCATCACGTTGTGTCCCCCCTCCCCTGTGGAATGTCGGCATCGTTACGTGCTTGTGTGCATAGTTTGTTTTTAATTTTCAGACCTTCGGCCAAACATCGAGAGCCTGTTAGGAATTTGTTTTGCCTCCAAAACCCACGTCGTCACTTTCACCACGTTTATTCTCCGTCCAAACAGGCCTCACTTGTAAACGAGTCTCAATGTGATTTATCTGTATGAATAAAAGGTCGACTGAATGTTCCGCTTGTTCCGAAGTCGGATCTCGGGGGCAGCAGCTTGAGCAGGGAGGCCCAGACATCACCCAACATTGCAGGTTGTGTACGGCTCAGTTAGTGAGTTAAAAACTTCCAAGGCAACTTATAACTCACAGTTGAACTGAGGTGCAACAGATCTGGTGATCACCGTTCAAGAGACACGGTCTCAGAGAAGTGGAAGAAAATGCATGTGTTGGTGAGTGGACGATGACTGATTTACGGTAAAGACGTGTTTTAAAGTGATATAGATCTACGACTGTACCGTTGAGCCATTTGGAGTTGTACTGGGCGGTGCGCAGGGGGGGCATGCCTCCGAGGCTCCTGTATATGACAGGGTCACGGCCCGAGAAGTCGATGACGGTGGCGGCGTACAACTCTCCGCTTTCCGTCACCACGGCCGTGGAGTTGTGGCGAGGATCGTACGGGCAGCGTGCAACGCCATTTACGCGCTCGAGCACCTTGCTCATGTTGCCAACCTGAAACAGGGAAATAGATGTGAACAGGAGCAACGCAGGTCAACTTTAAGGACGTTCCAACTACAAGCTGATGCTCAACTGTACCTCTCTGGTAATACACAGAGGCTGGAAAGCATTCGTGCCGCAGGTCATGACTTCCGTCTTGTTCACCAGCAGGACTCTGACGTAGTTCTGACATTCAGTCTGAAAAAAAGAGAAAAAGGTGGAAAATCTTTAAAAGTTACAGAAGGGCGAAACCACGGCTGCAACCTCGAATAGTTTGGGACATTTTAGTAAAAGGAACAATGGATTCGGTGCCTGCAACTTTCATTCTTGAGTCCTTTGTTCAAAAATATGAGCACTATTGTAAAAAAACAAAAAACAGAGGGCGATTAGTGACATCGACAAAGGCCCTACAGTAAGTCAGGCATGCGTTTCAGTACAAAGGATCAAATCTTTTATTTCAAAAGCTTGACATTGATTTATTAGTCTTTGCTGCTGAGAACTAAGGTAATTGCTGCAAAGCAGGATTCAAAGAAAATTGGTTTGTGCATTTGGCATCACTCTTCACCTTATGTGGGAGAAAATTAGGATGTTGTGAACCGTTCTCGCAAAATAGCTTAAATAGAAAAATTGATCGCAGCAGCATTTCTCAGATATTTTAAGGCAAAAAAAAAAGCTTTTCGTCTCCACAGGCATTGTTTTGCACATTCTCTTTCACTTCTTCTTTGTGTGCTCCTTTTATTTTACAGCCAGAAAAACAAGTCTTGATTGAAGGGTCTGTAATAGCTGTCCTGTGCAATGCCCTCCCAGGAGACCCACAAGGACCTTTTTGCTGGGAGATATCAGAATGGCCTCACTGTAAGCCCTGCCGTGCTGACATGAAGTGCTGTAATTGGGGTTGTGATTGAGGTTACCTCTGTTTTGCCTTTGCTCTGACACGACTTCCTGGTTTCCTCATCCGGTGCCCACTCTGTCACCTAGGAAACAAGCACAGGATGACAAAGGGATGACAAAGAGGCCAAGAAAGCAGTCAGCCGAGTTCCTACAAACACTCCAGAAAACGTTACGCAACATCTGACTGCTGCGAACACTGAGGGCACTTTAAAAACAGCATGAAAAGACGTTAACCTCACTGCTGTTTGTTAATGGTGTAAACACGAAGCAGAAGGAAGGGGAGTGGGTGAGGCTGCGTGCCTCACCCACAAGGCAGCTGAAGGGCTGAGGACAGAATTAGCATGTAAATAGCTTTCGTTCTTTCCCTTTCTTTGACTCGTTCTGAAAAAGTTTGCACACTCGCCTCCTCTCCCTCACCTAGGGCCCTGTTTGCACGAGAACGGCCTCTGTCAACGTTAGTGTTTTTTCAATGTTTCTTGGGATGAATAAACCAAACAAGAGCAGGTTTACATGGAAACGCTGTAGCTCCCATGCCAGGCAGGGTTGCCAGATAAGAAATGCTGGATTAATGTACAGCTGCTTTAGAAATATTGTAATTCGACCCAAACTGTCACATGTGCTGAGTTGGGGTGATGTAAGGTGAGGTGAATGTTGTGTTTGGAGGGCATGTGCACACAGAAAAGGAGAGGGTAAAATCATATTAATGTTATTACCTGCAGTGTTCCCTCTGAGGACTGAACTAGACAAAAGGACCTTCCCCTACTCTGCTCTTTCCTGGAATATCTTGTAAAAAGATCTGAAGCTCTCGATCTCTCTGAGTGGCTTCAACTTTGTTGTTCACTGTCGTCATCGCTCTTCGTTAAAATCATGTCTCTTTTGTAAATGAGTCCCTGAGGCTCAGTGGGATTAACCTGTATAAATAAAGGTTGAAGGAAATGTTTATCTGGCAACCCTGACGCCGGCTCAGCTGCATGCATCGTACATACAGTATCTGCATGATCACAGTTACATCCAAACTGGTGAATACACGGACGTTCCTTTGGACCTAGGTTCTTGCTGTTTTTGTCCCACATGTTGGAAAATGCAGAAATGCAGAAAAACTTTTGCCTTTAGTGTGCATGTGCAACTTCACACCTGCAGAGTATTTTCCACCTCTGCAGTTGTTTCCCCGTGAAAACCTCCACTCTGAGACCTTCGGCTGTTGTTGTGTGCACAAACAGCCGAATCCCGGCAGAAAAGCTGCAGTTTTACTCAAAAATGCTTTGTGTAAACTGGGCCTACAAGCCAATTATATTCCTGTTGGTGGTGACTGTATGTTTTAGGCCTCATTTTAGATGCAGGGAAGCAACAGCTGCAAACACCCTAATGTGTACTCGGCCCGCTTGGCACCAGCGCCGACGGCAGAGAGACGCCCCTCATTTGGCACAAACTGTAAATGAGAAAGCACCAGAGGACCCCCTGCTGTGGGTCACTGGCCTCATTTTACCATCCTCTCATCTCTTCCCTGCTTCTCATCTATTCTGATTAGTAAAGTTACTAAACATTGCCTTTGCAGGGAATTACAGTATTAGTTATTGTTTTTTCCTCTTTTGCAGAATTAGTTATAAATCTCGTGACCCAACATTTAAGAAGCCTGCTTACTGAAGAAAGCCAAGAACCAGAAAAACACCAAACTCTAAAATATCTAGAATATATAATATAAAAAATATTCAAACTTGTTTGCTAACAAACAGCTTGAGCTAAATCTGATTTAAAGACTGGATCATTTCATCCAGTGATGACTTTCTGCAGGTTCAGTGAAATGTGGCGGCAGCTGGTTCACAAGATATTTTTGCAACAAACACTCGCAGAGACAAACGTGCAAAAACATTATTGCATGTTGTGTAGTGGGTGATAATGAACCCACCCTGCACTTCTTTAACACTTGCCGCTTCAGACTATTTAAATTTTTATCTGTCAGTTTGTCGTGGTGATATTCCTCGTGCCCTTTTCCACTTCCTGGTTTTTCTTTAATTAAAGCTCAGAAGAGTCTCAAACCACACAGCCGAAGAAGTTTCCAATAAATCTATTCTTTTATTCTCATTTCAGAAGATGCAACCGTTTTCTAAATTTTAATAAAATATGCCGGGGTCCATGGAGTTTAGAGGATTAACCCAAGATGCAGACGGACGTAAGGAGCTCAAGGTGAACTTAAATGTATTATAAAATTAAAAAAGTCAAAGGCAGCAGACAAAACAAGGTCCAAACAAAAGGAGACTCATCAGGTCATGGAACAGACCCAGAGAAGACTGAAACAGAATAAATGAGCTGAAGACAATAAAGTGAAGAACGGACTAAAACACGTTGTAGAACGTCCCCCGCTGAGATTTGAACAGTGAATGTTTGTAGTTTTTGAGATGAGTGTTTTTCTGGACTTGCATTGAACAGGGCATACAATTAATGTTTTTTATGAAAAGGTTGAGTCAGGTCCTCTGGACGGGTCCTTTTGTTGAAACGTTTGGTCTTTTATCCAGAGGACTTCTTCAGTTTGAGGAGCTGCAACAAACTCATTCTTATAAACAGCACCTTCTCATGGTGGATCAACCAGTTTGTTGTTGACATCTAGAACTAACTGTTCACATGCACAAAGAGGACCATCAGCCTAACGATGGATCATTAGTGCCCTGGTGGCCGCTTGTTATTCACAGGAGGCTGAGTGATACGAGCAATAACAGCATTGTAAGAGGGACGGTTGGACACGGAGGCTCCGCCCTGTTTCATGATGGACGGGTTATCTTCACAAAGATGGCCTCCTTTACCAACAATCCTCTGCTCACCAGTGACCCCCGCGACCCGAAAAGAAAGGAGTGGCTAAAGATGATGGATTAATTTATTTATTTGTTTATTTTACTTGTTCACGGCACAGAGTGATGGATCCTGGCGAGTGGAGGGAGAAATTTTATCTACAACCAGTGAGTGGTGGCCTTGGTCACTAAAGACTAATCTTTGTTCAGACCAACTATCAGGAAACTTTTGACACCTGGATGACTGAGCATGAACTTTGTTTACTTATGAGCAACATAAAAACCAGAACGCAAAGTCTCTTTAGTTGATCTACTGTATGTATGGTGGTGGCCATCTTGGATTTTTTTGATGTGGTCTCCCAACTTTTGATAGAGAACTTCCTTATGCCTAGATGCAGTCATCTTTACCACCTTCTTCCTTTTTGGGTCGTGGGAGTCACTGGTGCCCATGTCCAGCAGTCACTGTGCGAGAGGCGGGGACACCTGGACAGGTCTCCAGTCCATCACAGGGACACAGAGACAAACAACCATTCACTCTCTCTCTCTCACCTAGAGACAATTTAGAGTTACCATCAGTCTAACATGCATGTTTTTGGTCTGTGGGAGGAAACTGGAGTACCCGGAGAAAACCCACGCAGCACCGAGAGGACATGCAAACTCCACCCAGAAAAGTCTCGCGCTGGGATTCGATCCGGCAACCTTCTCACTGAGAGGCAACCGTTCTACCAAATGAGCCACACACTTGGAACAAAAACATTGCTTTTTAAAAAAAAACTTATCCAGTTTACAACACGCATGGATGGATGAACGGAGGACATCTTCCATTTCACGACTTCACTCCACGATGTGATGGGGGACAACAAAGACAAGACTAATGACGGAGAACGTCAAACACCTGGGGAGAGACGACGATGGTCAGGTGGGAGTGGGCAGGGCAGGAGCAGAAAGCAGAGCACAGGAAACTGAACTGAAAACACAAACCGAGCAGTAAGAAATTACAGAACTAAACACTGAAATAAGAAAATGCAGAAATCATCAAAGTGATGAAAGAGAGACCAAAAACTGATCTCGAACAAACAACTATCAAACAATCAAAACACACAAAATCAAACACCTTAATATGAAACCCAAACTGTTCTGGAGTCTAAACTTTGAGTTTAAATGTGCTGAATAAATAAAACGGTCTCTAATTTCTCAAATCACAGGGTTGATCGACGATGCTCACGGGGGAGTTCATGATGTTGCGTGATATCATCTGCATAAATTGTTACCGATGAATGAAAAACAACAGAGCGCAGTCCTAATGATCTGGGCAAACGTCTGCACACCGTCCTGGGTTTTACTGGCTCTTTGTTTTTAAACCAGCTCCATATTCACTGACGTTCCGTGACTTTAACTGGTTTCTATGGTTTGGCTGCCTGAACGCAGCACAGGGAATCGGTTCTGCTGCATACTTGAATATAAATCTTGGTTTTAGATGGAAAATAAAGATCCGTGAGTAAATATGAGAGACTGGGGATGGGAGTTCATTTTCCATTCGCAGTCACGCTAAAATAAAGACACCTGCACCAAACACATGGAGTGACTGAAGAAGTCTTTCGGATGAAACAATTCCAACATTTTTTGTTTGTTTGTTTTGTTTTTTTGAATGTCCAGAGGACCAGACTTAACTTTTTTAGATTTTTCTACCTGGATTATTGAGCAGCTTCAGGAGACATGGAACACAGATACCACTTAGTAATGCTGCAGTTTTGTCAGGGAGGAAACGTCTTAAATTCATTCAACCTTTATTTAAACAGGTTAGTCCCATTGAGCCACGAGGACTCATTTACAAGAGAGACCTGGAATGAAATGAACCAAAATAAAATTATATATAAATATATATATATACATATAATTAAAATAATTAAATGAACTAAAATAAAAATCAGAGGATCGTTCAGGATGGCCACAATTAAGCAACTGTAGCAAACACAAAAATATCTGTAAGTTCGTCAGTTTCACAGGTGTTGAGCTAAAGTTTGTGTTGATAATTAAGACTGTTCCTCTACATACACTGTCTGATGTTTTTTAAACGTTGTGATTAACTATTACAGTTGCACAGCATCTCAAACACCGGATGGATTTTATTAACTCTCTCAGAAAATAATCACAGTCGATCATTTGTGACTGATCAGCTTTTGGAATCAACCCAAATCAAGATGGCTGCCATAGCCAATTTATATAAAAACCACACCAAAAAAAAAAAAAAACCTCAACCAGTTTTACAGATAATGTACTAAAATATGATATAATAGCTG